CATATTGTTTTGTAATACTCCACGTTTCTTTGCAACGATCCATGTTGTTCATTATTGCTATTATAATTCTCCATTTATGCCCATTCTTTAATATTGTTGTTAGGAAAATCAATCCACACGTTATCTTCTTATTCAAATATCAATAATGCAATTGTCCTCTTTTAATTAACTTCAACGATCTATGATCCATAAATTTCTCACATACAAATATGTCAATTCTTCGGTTATCAAACATGTCTTTCTTAGATGATCTAATTTCCTGAACTTGCGAGTCTATACTAATTTTTAAAGAGAGAAAAGCTTTTTTGTTGCCCAACTTTTATTATTATTATTTTTTTGTTTTGGTGCCCAATCGTTGATTTCTTATGATTTGCTTGCCTAAGCTTTGATTTTTTGTTCGTTATAGTGCTTGAATTCACTTGAGGTCTAATTTTATTGACCTATCCGATAAGATTTGTCATATGATAGTCAATTCGTCACGTCAACACATCATACTCTCGAGTAGCTATGGACACTAAAGTAGAAAAAAAAATCAAAGGTTCGACATTGAAACGAGAAAAAAAAATTAAAAAGATTGGGCAACTAAGTAGAAAAAAATTAATGGCTGAACACCAAAAATATATATTTTCTTAAGAAATTTATTTCAATTTTCTCATAACAAATGTCTATCCCCTTCTTTTAAAACTTTCTTTTTGATATTGAAGTCATATAATTTTAAATTCTAAAAAGTTCATCAATTACATTCATGTATATTTTCTTATTATTATACTAATTGCACTAGAAATTTTAACAATGCATTTAATTTTCAGCTTAATTCATAATTTACTTATTACCTTTATGATTATTGTCATCGTTACAAAAAATATTACACTTTAAAAGTTCAAATAAAAAAGTTTGATCACTAAACTTATTTATGTCGATTCTATCTCATTTCAATTTAATATAAAAAGTTCAACAAGTTATTGGCTACAACAAACATATGTCATCCATGATATGCTTGTCAATTTTCTTTCTACAAAGAGGAAGCAATTTTATTTTTTGTAACTTTCTTTATTGAACAACCATTTGTTCTATAAATAACAATCATAATTGGATCTTTATGTCTTTTATTTTTCTAAATTTAATCTTAATTAGTCTATATATATATATATATATATACATATTTGGATTAAATGACATAATTTTGAATTTGTCTAGGCATATAAAAAGATTTAAAATTTTTTAAAAGTATTTTTTAACTAATGCGAGTATTAAAAATTACCATTGATATGTAAAAAAAGGTCACAGGTATGATATAAAAAATATTTATTAGAAATTATTGGAGTAATTTTGTAATCTTGAGACAATAAAATTTCTTTAAAAAGCTGTATTTTTGGTATCCAATCTTTAAATTTTTTTTTTTTGTTTCAATGCCCGATGTTTGAATTTTTTTTCTCATTTAAATGCCCATAACTACGTGAGAGTATGAGATGCGACGTGACGGGATTAACTATCACGTGGTATTTTTCGACTTGCCATGTGATAGATCTCATCGGACACGTAATTAAAATTAGATTTCAAGTGAATTTGGTCATTAAAACAAACAAAAAAAATTAAAACTTGGATAGCAAGTCACGAGAAATCAATTATTGAACCTCAAAATAGAAAGAAATCAAAAGTTAGGTATAAAAATAGTCGTTCTCTCAATTTTTAAATGTAGCACCCCTATATCGTTTTGGTGAATTTAAAAAATAGAAGAATCAAGTAAGTCTTCTTAACCTCCAAACCAGACTTTACGGAATTCAAAGCGACTTATTACGATACTCATTATCCTGTGAAGTAAAAATATAATATTTTAAAGGCATACTAACTAAATATAAAAATATCATTTTCATATCACATCGCGAGTATAACATGACAATTAAAACACAATATCGCATCATAGCAATGCTTAATATATTTGTTGTATTTTGTTACAAAACGTGTTAATTAACACGACTAATATTTTTTATTTTTTGAAAAAAAAACCAATATAGTCTTATTCGATTTATGATGAGCTTTTTTTAATGCAACTCGTCTAGAGTAGAATGTGCACTAAATAAAATATTTCTTATGATGTTTAATAGTTAAAGTTGGAGAAAGACAATTCTTTTATCCGAGCTACTTTTGATGCCTGCTCCACGCACGAAACAAGGACGGATCGAGGTCTATAAGCGCTAACAAATGATAGTATTTTCAAGTCTAATTAGCCTACTCGAAATGCCAATAATAATCTTTTTTTAATTATTGCAAATTAGATATTTAAATCAAGACATCTTGTGATACAAGACATACAAGTAGCAATTCATTCATTTTGTAGCTTATTAGTAGGATTTGATATCACGCACACGCACACACACTCCCATTTGAAATTGCAATTAAGTGAGAATATTGTGAGTACAAAATAGTTATCATGCAAGGGACTCGCTAAAGTTTCTCTAGGGTTTCTCTCTCTCATTCTCTTGTAAAACCCATCTACTACCATGTTAGTAAGCGGTCGTTGGTGATTTTCACTACGAAAACATTATTTTTTATATCTTTTTTGTCCAATAATCCCGAATCTAATAGTATACATCTAGTGTTTTTTAGTATAGTTCACATATATATATTTTTTTACTTCTTGTGAGATTTTTCTCTTTATTTGTGTTTGTGCATTTTATGTGGATTTGCGGTGTTGCAAGGGATATTTTTTAAGGTTGTTGGCGATTGATATCCATATATTATGGATGAAAAAGAATAACAATAGGATTTCAAGATAGCATAGCTATCAGTGTATTGCCAAAGTAAATTACATTTCTCAACAATTCCTTTCTCTTGTGGTATAGTTTTTTAATGAAGAGAAACTTGTTTTTCTCTGTACCTGACACTGTATTTCAAATTTCTTTCTAATTTTCCTTTGTATGTTTTTGAGCGTCCATGGATGATATTAAAGCCATTATTATTCATATTCATGGAAAATTGGTTTTAATTGATCGTATGATACAAAAAGCTTTTCTTTTCTTCATATCGATGAAGCTGCATGAGAACCAGGTTCACATATAGTAAACTTGTCCATAAAGTAAGAGACGATGTTAAAACTCAACAAGCATGGATAGGCTTAGAACTTTAAAATTATGCTAGATGTATGAATCACATACTTGTGGGGCTAGACACTCTATTGCTATAATAACTTCAAAAAACCCACATATATTTGGGATGTTGCTCGTACAAATCTTGTTATTCTATTCTTTACCGTAACACCTTGACATGCTTAAGCTTCCATGTCTCGTTTCCAAACACGAGACCCGCATGCGAACGTGAAAATAATTTAACTTTCAATAACCATCTAAATGCAAATAAGCCGGATAAAATTTGATAAGACACAATATGATTATATATATAAGAAAATGATGGTTGTCATTGAAATACAAGTAGATTTAGGAGCAGCTGTTTAGATTTAATTTACAAATTGAAAAGTATAAATATAAGTACATGTAAGTAGATGTATAATTTACTTTTCTCCTTTTTTTTTTTTTTTAACTTCAAATTTCAATTTCATGATTTTTCATTTTTTTTTATATTGGGATTCATTTTTTATCCTGTATCACAAGATAACATACGCATAAGCACATAAATACCTAACATAATGAATCTACAACACGAACTCAAATGAAAAAAAAGTCAATAATTTAAATAGGTAAAACTAAACATGAGGCGCTTAAATAGAAAAGTAATAAAACCTTGGGTATCGAATATGAGTTTTCCAACTGAAGTCCACGTCTTAACACGTGTCATGATATAACATGCATGCTGGTACCAAGCATAATGAATTAACAACATGCACTCAAAATATAAAAAAATAAAAATCAATAATTGAAATAAATAAAATTAAAGACGAAACGCTTAAATAGAAAATCATACAAGGTTGGGCGCCTAATAAGTAGTTTTCTCAAAGAGATTAAAAGCAAATGAATTACTTGTATTTCATGATATTTTTTATTTAAACAATATTTATTGATTTTCTTTTATATTATAGTACTTTTTACTCATGAAATTTGGTTAATCAAATACTTCTATCAGCTTATGATGCAAACTAGCTGAAGAGCAAATGTCCTGGTACGAGTGAAATGATTATTATTTTGCTATCTTTCATCATTTTCATTTTCTGATCAAGAAATTAAAACAAAATACATTAATTTTTAAAAAAAAAAGAAGAAGAAAGAAACTAATAATACCAATGTATTGATGATAAAGTAAACGTAGAAAGAACGAAGATGGTTTTTCATTTTGTTTTTGACAATGATTTTCAAAAGAGATTTTGTTGCATACAGCGAGATAAGGTCTTGAAGTCCGATCTCTTCAAATTACCTTATCAATTGATTAATTAGGTTTTATTAATCAATTTGACTAGGTACTTGTTTTGCAAAAATATTTTTCGTATTTCGTTTTTGTAAAATATTTTATGGAAAAATTAATCAACATAAAATATTTTACATTTAATTTATCTTGTAGAAAATATTTTCAACTTATAAAATTTCATAAAATATTTTATAAATAATAATTAATTCACAATATCATTCAATTATTTTAATCAATATTACTATTATTTAGTATATCGATACTTTCATTAATGTCAACACTCTATAATTTTACCATTACGATTACACTCTTTTTTTTATTACAATCATCATTATTATTGTAAATTATGATAATACTTTATTACTATAGTATTCTTCAAATTATTATTTTTCAAATACTGTAAAATATTTTTCATTTATTAGTTTTTCTTTTTAATTTATTTTTTCACTTTCCATAAATAACAAAATAACGGTCATTTCTACGTAGGACTCTTTAAATAGAAAAAATAACCAAGCGCATGTAGATTTGCAAATTCATTTGCTATAATTTCTGGTGTAAAAATGGGCCCTAATCTAAATAGGATCAGGAGGGCCTTAGTGAGTTACTTTGTTTTTAACAAACAGTCCGTTTGTTGCTATGAGCCAATGACGTCGAAGCTCACGTACACCGTCACGGGGCCCCGGTACATCACAGCAGACAAATTAAGCAGCGTGTACGGAAGACGCAGGTTTAGGAATCTATTCCCACCCTCACATGAACGAAAACACAACCTTCCAAATCACCAGTCCCACACACCCTCTCTCCGTCCGCCACGTGGCACCGCGTTTTCCCTCTCTATCTAGACGGCGTTTACCATTCTCTCTCTTCTCCATGGCAGCTTCATTTTTTCTCACTTCAACCATTACGACTCCTCTTGGTCAGCCATAAAACATATCCAAATTCACCTCCCCTTTTCTCGCGAAATTTTTCCTGGTAAAGTGACAGAAAATAAAGATATTTTCACATAAATTACATAAAAGAGACAATAAGAAGCTTTAGCGTGACTTTTTTCTTCTGATTCTTCTCCTAATTTTAGATGGATTTTGCTCTCTATGCATCACTTACCACAATTTCTCACTCGTAACAAGAAAACCAGCTCGATGGACCCGAAAAATCGAAGGAGGCCCAGGCTGGAGAGACGTAATGCCTTGAAGCACATTGACTACGATGCGACATCGTCGTCTTCATCTCTAGATGACTCGTCGTCGTCTTTACTTACTCGGTCGCTTGATTTACCGGATCGGACCAGTTTTCGAATCGAAGGAACCGAAGGTGAGTTCGACCGCATTTGTCGCAGCTTAGGCCTATCTGGTCCCGAGGATTTCGCGATTCCGGCGGCAGCTTGGGAAGCTATGAAGGTCCGGTCTGCTTCAGATATTTTGCCCCGGTCCAGATTGTTCGGCCCGGATAGTCCGAAAGCAGCTGAAGAAGTTAAAGTGATAGTTGAAGTGACCAATCAGCAAGAGGACAATGAATTGTGTGCTAGGGTTTTGAAGAGTGTTAGGGTTAGGGATTCTTCTACTGAGTCAACTCGGAACGAGCCAGCTGAGTTGAACACTTGTCGTAATATTGATAATCGTTGCGTGTCAGTTGGAATTAAAGGGCTTAGGCCGCCGTTACTGAAGCCGCCACCGTCGATGACATTACCGGTGATTGATAAAGAATGTTCAACTTGGGATTTATTGAGGGATTTTGCACCTGAAAATGATAGAGTTGTTAATAATAACAAAGAATTCAGTTCCGATGACGACGAAGAAGAAGAAAGAAGAGAGCAAGTAATTGACGCAGCTGTGGGTAACAAGAGAGAAGAAGAAGAGAATTTGTTGAGGATATGTGAAACTGCGGTTTTATCAGAGTCCTGTTCGTTTACCACCTCTAATGATGATGATTCATCAAGTAGTACAACAGAACCCATGTCGAATATTTCCCCTAATGGGAGATTTAGAAGGGCTATAACCGATTGGGAAAAGGGTGAGCTTCTCGGACGTGGGTCGTTTGGTTCCGTTTATGAAGGAATCTCTGAGTAAGTTTTAAATTGTTTTATTTACGATAAGCTTTTGTTTAATTATGATTTGGGGTATTTAGAATCGTCAGTTTCCAAAACTCTAATCGAGTTATTAGATAATTGTGGCTTATTTTTATGCTATTGGAATTCGACGAGGAAAGCTGTTCTCGTTTTCATGTTTAATGGTTGACTATTAAGGTTTTGGTTAGGAAGGGCGAATTTCTGAAGAAACTCATGCTATGCTTTAAGTTTTTGCATATCAGAAGAAATGATTTCATGTTAATTGTGCTTTATTGGTTGTTTGCCTCCTCTAGCGATGGATTCTTTTTTGCTGTCAAAGAGGTTTCCCTGCTTGATCAGGGAAGTCAGGGAAAACAAAGTATTTATCAACTTGAGCAGGTGAGATTAACTTTATCTTACTTTATGGTGTGTCTATGTTCTCTACCCTTTGTTAACAAAATATAATTTATCTGGAGGTCTATAACCGAATTGTTCTTTTACTAGAAGCTCTGTTCTTTTTTTCCCCTGATCGTTTACTTTTCCTGTTGTTTTCAGGAGATTGCTCTTTTAAGTCGGTTTGAACATGAAAACATAGTTCAATATTATGGCACAGATAAGGTACTGTTTTCTAGCTTTTGTGTTGGGTTCTAGATTTGATTGTTTGATCTACACCAGTTCTGAATGGAACCCAAGATATAATCCGTTTCTTAATCTTTTTCTATTTTTTTACTAAGTGTACATTCATTAGAAAAGTTCTTCCTTTCCTTTTGTATTCTGTACAATTGAAATGTATTTCGCTCTAGATTCAACTGAACAGTGGAAAAGGGTACATAACTACATGCTGCCAACTCCAAGCGGTTAAAACTGAGCTGAGTTGAGAATGATAGATTAACAGATAGTCTGTGGTTTGGCAAGTTTGCCAGATATCATAAATTCACTTTCCTATAGGCACCCTGTATATATGTTTCATGACTGTTTTTTCTTACTGCTTATTTTGACTAAGGTACTCTTACATCCTTTTCTGTAGAAATTCGGTCATCAATGTTGATCCTTGTATTGTTTTTTGCAGGATGAATCAAAACTGTATATCTTTCTTGAACTTGTAACTAAGGGCTCCCTTCTAAAACTCTATCAGAGATATAATCTTCGAGATTCCCAAGTTTCTTCATACACAAGACAGATTTTGCATGGTTTGAAGTATCTTCATGATCAGAATGTGGTCCACAGGTGATACGAATGAATGTTTTTTTTTAATGAATATTGTGCAAACTTCAAGAATCATTAGCCCTTTCCTTTCCCAAGTAATTGTCGTTTTCCATGCCCCTAGGAAGTGTTGGTTTTTTTTTTTTTTTTAATGAATATTGTGCAAACTTCAAGAATCATTAGCTTTTTCCTTGACCATGGAAGTGTAGTTTTCCATGCCCCTAGGAAGTATTGGTTTTTCACTCTGTTGTACTAAATTCTTTCTGACCTCTCATTCTGAATGCTGCTTATCAGTTCTAGTTCATCACCTTTTAGCACCTCAACTTTGTAGTGCTGAATTAACTTTCAAGAACGTAAAGGTTGCTGGAACCTTGTCTCAATCTCTATACTTAGGGTTGGTTAGCTTCTTACATGATGCTGCGGTTTCCTAAAACTTTCTGTTTATGATAACTGTTTTTTAGGTCCTTTTCCTCTTCAAACCTAAACTTGAGGGAGATGTATGAATTTAGGAGAAACGGGGGATGGAGTTAAATTTTTCATTGAAGACAAAAATTATGCTGTTGCAAAATTGGGATCCAAATTGCTAAGTTAATATAAGTGCTAACACTGCAAAATCTGGATCTTTACATGAAAGATGTCGATCATGGGCTTGGTATTTTTTTTAAATCTATTTCTTTGTTGTTTCTGCCTTCATCCACAGGCTTGCCACATTACGTGACAGCTTGTTTGCTGAAGCATTTTCTGGATCTTTCTTTTATTTCATATATTGAAGTTCATTCAAGTTAATTTGAATTTAATATAAATTTGGCAGTTACTGTACATATATGCAAATACTTGCACACTTGTGTTTGCAGGCAAGCTCAAACTACCAAATATGTCACATTTGACTGATTCCATGCTGTCTTAAATATGTTACTTTTCTTTTCTTTTTCTTTTTTTGTTTTTTAGGGATATAAAATGTGCAAATTTATTGGTGGATGCAAATGGCTCTGTAAAACTTGCAGATTTTGGTTTGGCAAAGGTTTTACCCTCGTCCTCATATTTCAATCTATTATTTGATTTCCTAGAGGCTTCTAAAACTGCTGCAAATTTCTTTTCTAATATCATGTCCATTTCCCTTTTCAGGCAACAAAATTGAATGATGTTAAATCTTGCAAGGGGACTGCATTCTGGATGGCTCCTGAGGTGTGCACTTATGACTTTAGCTTCTATGACAAATCTGTTCAGTGGCAGCATCAGACTTTGCAGAAATAGTATATGATTTCTGTATGCTGTCATGAATTGACGATTTCACTACTGTCTGATGCTTGTTAATTGAGTTAGGGGCAGACATGATACTACAGTCATACTTTTGGGAAGCACTGTGGGAGAAATTTTTGACTTTTAAGATCTTAAAAAAAAAAAAAAATCTTGGTGATCAATTTGCCGCTTGCTTTTACACTGCACATGGGCTATAAATTGCGGGGACATATATTTTAGTGATGGGAGTTTGGAGGCTGGTTACCTGGGCTGGTTAAGGGAGACTGTGGATCTGAACGGGTATAAGCTTATGCACATATAGGAGAAAAATTCATAATTTAATCCCTCTAGTTATTTCTTGGCTAGCGTGGTGTTGCGTAGCAGGAGCTTGTTGAGATGAGTTTTTTACTTCCTGACCTTTGATGAATCTATGCATGCATGTTGGAGTCCTGTATTGAACTTAACATGGACAATTTTTTTCTTTACCATTTGTTATTTCTCAGTCCATGGCACTTGAACAGAGTTATGGCATGTGCTTCCAATGCTGTCCTCTGATGCTGTCTTAAATTAAAATCCTTTCATAGAAACAACAATAGAAGAAAATCATCATTGGATTCTTTATATCTTATTGGGAAAAGTAAAATTGAATTGCCCTTCTGATCTGCAATATTTACGTTGACCATACCTCTTGTTTGTAAAATTATGTTGCCCCTGAGATTACCAACCAGCCATCATCTGTATCAGACTTCTAGTTGCATGGCATTTTGAAACAATGGAAATTTGTGTATCTGGCGTCTGGACTAATGTTAGCATGTCTGACAGGTGCAAACAAAATTCTGATACTGATCTCTGTACTGCAGGTTGTCAATAATAAAAACCAAGGATATGGGCTTCCAGCTGATATATGGAGTCTGGGATGCACTGTTTTGGAGATGTTAACCCGTCAGATTCCATATTCTGAATTGGAATCTGTGAGTGCTATTTTTTGTGCTTCTTTCTATACTATCGTGATTATGTTTCCAATTTTCCTTGAGAGATGTGGATACGTATTATACATGTTCTTGCATTATCTAGTTTATGCATAAAATGTCCTATTTTTCTATTCGTTCCATTGCAACATGACATGCTGCAATATATTTTTTTTTATATATCTTTAACAACTTATCTTTCTGTAACTCAACAGATGCAGGCATTATTTAGGATTGGCAGAGGTGTTCCTCCACTTGTTCCTGATTCTCTCTCAAATGATGCACGGGATTTTATCCTGCAATGCCTACAAGTTAATCCAAATGACCGGCCTACTGCTGCTGTGCTTTTGGATCATCCATTTGTGAAGAGGCCTCTTCCAACATCCTCGGGCTCAGCATCTCCCTATATTGGCCGCCGATCATAGAAATATTTGGTTCATTTCAATTCTGAGAGATATGTAAGTTTATTTACATAAAACTCTTCTCCTCACTCTGCACAATTATGTGTTACGGCTCCTTTTTTTTAAGAATTAATATTGTCAGAGGGTTACATTACTGTCTTTTGATGACAAACACGAAATCCTTTTGTGCTTGCTGTTGGGGTGTTTGAAATCCTTGCTCCTCTTTTTTCCCCAATAAAAATATCAATAATATGATTTTGACCTAAGATCTTCCACTTTCTATTTGGTGCCATGACATGACTGTACTGGCAACAGATTGTATAATAGTTATTTGTCATGAAACTTGTAACGTAGGAAGTTTGCCAAAATGTTTTCTGCTGACCTTCTGTAAGCAATAGCAATTTTAATTTCCATGCCCTGTTGGGATTTGAATCTGCATCTGAGATTATTCTTGTTAGTTCGAGTCTTTATTCATTTTCTTTACCATTCTGTCAATTTTGCTAACTGATTTGATAATTTTGCTCTTGCAAACAGTTGTATCCATGATGAAGCAAATGGGACCTTTATATCACATTGCATACTCAAGTTGGATGACTTGTTCAGGGACATTGTTTGACAGGCAGCAACGATGGATTTGGATTTTGTAGACTCAAATTCTGCATGCTTACTATTACTGAATTGAATTTGAAGCATTGGGAGGGATATGGGCTTGGATGTTTGCTGTCATGATATGATATGAACAGAGAAACCCTCATTTGCCTGCTCTGAAGACTCAGCATCGCAGAGCGAACAGCTTGAATTACTATTTTGTTACTTGTCTGTTGTGGAAAAAATAAACTCCTGATGTCAACTTGTGCAACAATGCAAGTCTTTGCCGTCATTTATATTTCTTGGGGAAGGTTATAGTGGCTTGGGCTTGTAAGAGCTAAAGTGTGAGAGCAATTGTTGTAAGAATAGGGAAGGGTGCACTATTTGTAAATATCATCATTGTTGTAGCAATTGTGAGTATCATTTTGGTTTTTGCCTTTGCTGCTTTTTTTTTTTTTTATTCATATAATATTCGAAAGAATTTCTTTGCCTAGAATATCTCCGCATAAACTAAGCTTTTCCACAACAATGTGCATTTTTTAGTTGCACCTAGACTGAATCTTAGGGGGTGCGAAGCTGTTTGCTTGAATTGCTTTCTTTGGTTGTGCTTTTACAGAAACCTAGCTTTTGCTCTATCTACAGAACAGGGTCAGGGACAGTTAGTGAACAAAACCGATGACAGATTGATATTCATTCAAAAGAAGATAGCGAAGACAAGTAAACATGCTCCACTAACAAAGTGAAGTGCGATTTAAGATCGAGTAGTGGCTTGTAGGAAGTTGCTTTTACTGGCAAGAAACGAACTGATACACATTAGAACCTCGAATACAGTTACCCAGTAACAAAATGATTAGTTTCTCTGCTAATTTTTATTGGATGGTCTGCATCAATTGAAACTATGGTCAAGAACTAAAATTGCCGTGGGGTTACTTAGATTGGATCCTAGTGTTTGAACATTTAGTATTTGGACATTCATCGTTTGATCATCCTTAATTCCCAGCCGAGGGGGCCGCCCGCGGGGGGGGGGGCGCGGCGTGGTTGGGGGTTGTTGGTTGGTATTTGCTATTTCTCCACATCCTCAGTTTATTTGGGTTAGTCTTTCAGCCTGGGTTGGAATTTGCAAGGCAAATAATGGCTCCCAAATTCAGTCCAAAAGCTAAAACTAAAAACTAATAAAGGGGTTAACTACACCATGCGTTCCTTTGCTATTCGGATTTCATTAGTAGGATTCCTTTATTACTAATATAACTAGCAACGAGATTCTTTCACCATGCATTCTGTTTACAATTGGAACCTTTCGTCTATAACGCGGTTTGATGTAATTTTTTAACTTATTGGATGTGGGACATGTGTCTACATATTCAATTTGACATGATTTTTAATTTTAAACTAAAAAGGGCTTGAAAAAATTAAATTCCATTAAAAAAATAAATATTGAAAAGAAAAGAAAATATTCAAAAAGAAATTTTACCCCCATGAAATAACATTAAAAAAAAAAAATTTATGAAGAGGGGGATTTATTTGGATGTTTTTTAGATTATTTAATATTTTGAAAATAAAAAAAAATTGAAAAATAAAATTCAATTTTTAAAACATTTCAGAAATTAGAAAAAACATAAAAATATAGAAAAAAATATATGTAATAAATCCTTCTAGTAATAATTTTAAAAAATTTTAATTTCTTATGCTTTGAATGTTATTTCATAGGGGTAATTTTTTTCCTTTTCAATATTATGAAATTTTTTAAAATGATTTTTTTCCGAGCCATGTTTTGCATTAAAAATAAAAAATAGGTCAAATTGAAAATATAAACACATGTCACACATTTAATGAGTCGAAAAATAAAATCCCCTATTGTTTATTTAATATTGCATTGAATTTAATCATAGAAAAATTCATTTTCTTTTTGCTGTTTTGACATATAGAAAATAAATAGAAAAAAGATTTGAAGTGTCTTTTGTGCTTTGACCTCTAAAAGAACATACTATTAGGTTTTATCCTCATCTCAAGAAAAAAGAAATATAAGAAATATTATTAATGGCATTGTATACTGAGGGATCTAATTGTAAATGAAATACATTGTAATTTTTTTTTCAATCATAGAATCACCCAACTAAATTACATGTCAATAGTAGAAGGACATAAAGTGTAAATAAGCCATTGATAAAGCAAATAGCAGACCGCAAAATCATTTCAAGTTCGGTCCAACAACTAATTCACCTAGACTTTTGAAGAAATTTTATAATACTTAAGAATTAACTAATATATAGTAATTACTTCTTAAGTTAATTTTTTTTTTAAAAGATAGATACATAAAAAAAAAAAAAATCTCATGCAAACTCATAAGAAATGATAAGAAGATTTCTTTGTTGGCTCAAATTTTTTTTAATTTTCTCTCTCCGATTTTTCTTTTTATATCTATTTTTCTTTATAAAATAACTTATACTGATTAATTTTTTAGTATTATAAAATTTCACAAAGTTTTGGACGCTAAATAAATTCTTACTTTTCTAGCGGACAAATTATCTAGTCTTGCCTGCCAAACTATCCTTTTCACAATTTTCATGTCAAAAAGGGACCCTCTAATATCTTGGTTAGGGCCCAGCCCTGTAAGTATCCCATCCAAATTTAAATATAAATGGGCCAGCATTTGGACTCAAAAAAACCGAGCCCAGCCAAACTCAACTCCAACCCCTAGGCACACAGTATCACTTGTAAAAAAGCGTAGATGCCAAGGTTGGTAGAGGGTTTATGAGTATCGTCATGATGGCGTTAAAATGACAGTCACCAGTGACACGAAGACCAATCAGAAGGAGCGAGGGAGAGATTGAAAATTAATTATAGCATTAAATTAAAAGGTATAGCTAAATTCATGAACTAAATGTTATTTCCACCATTTTTTCTATATAATTACTAACAAAACTTTCATTAATTATCAATAATTATTATATAATAAATATTAATAGAGAATGTATTAATATTTGTTTATATAAAAAGTTAAAATACCAATTTGATCAGTTAATTTAATATTATGCTGAATTAAATACTAGTAAATAAATAACTGGAGAAACGCAACACAGCAGAGCAGGCTTAGACGGCGTACGTACGTAACCGCGAAGAACGGGTGTCCCTCTCTCCTCCTCCACACCCGTAATTCTCCGCCTTCTTCGGCCATCAAAAAATTAACCTCATATATTAAATCCACTCCTTCTAATCGTTATTTAATATCTTTAATCTCTCTTCCTGGTGAGCTCTGATTCCAATTCTAACTTTCATTTTTAGGGTTTCGGATCTGATTCTGATTTCTTTTTAATTGGTGATTCTTCTTCTGTGATCGATCGAATCTCGTGGAATTGCCAAAACCTAGATTCAGTTTCTAGGGATCATATTTGTTGCTTTGATTTGTTGTGTGTAATGTGATTAACTGTTTCATTTGCACTGCTATATTATTATTTTAACCTAAAGTTAGGATAAGCTTAGATTTAGAGGCGAACTCTTAAGTGATTGATTGATAGTATGCCTAATTTGCACAAAGATTGTGGCTTATTCTGCACTAATTATTTGTTTGACATTGAAGATTCATGGTTTTAGGCTTTTCTAAATTTTAAAAATGCTTACCATTTGAATTCAAATGCTGTGGTTGTGTTTGATGTTTACTTAGTTTACCAAGCAGGGTCCAGCAGGTTCTTGCAAGTTGACCGGTAAAGTTTGTTATTGTGCTGTTTTGATTTGCAACTCTCAGGATCTGTAAAAGCTCGAATTCATTTGTTTCTGTCTTTTTTTTTTTTTTCCTTTTTGGTAAAGCCTTTTGATATATTTTCTCTAATTTTGTCCAAATTCTTGAAGCAAGCTTGACCTCAGAAAATTTCCACATAGACGCGTAAGTCTTGCTTAATTAGCATGTATTTTTTACTAATTTAGTGGAATGTTGATGTTGGAAATGAAGTTTAACAATGGTAATGATGATATTTGTTTTGCGACTATTTATGATTTGATGGGGAAATCAAAGGAGATTGGTTCTATTGGCTCGTTATTACTGTTCTTGAACTTTCCAAAGCATGCTCTGTGTGTCCTTTTTCCTTCTGCAGGAAAAGAAACCCCTACTGCGTCAGGCCACTATTGTGTCGTATAGATATTGTCAGCGGTATTTGTGATTTTTTTAATCTGTATTTTGATGGTACTTGTTGTCCGCTTAATCCACAATTGCTGGTCAATAGTGATTTAATTTATCTTCAATTAATTGAATTTAGCACACGACATTGATGACAGTTTTGAATTTTACTTGGTGTATGTTTTCCAAGTGTATTCGAAATATTTTCTTTGCAGGTAAATATGCATTTGAAGCCAACTGCCAATTGTTTCATTGGCAACGTTGGCGGAACCTTGATAAGAGTCCAGGGCTTTAAAGTCTCGTGGGTAGTTATATGGGCATCTGGTTTCCAGCCAATATTTTGAAGTGGGAAGGGTTAGTGTAGGTGAGATTTAGGGCAAGGTAACGGTGCTAGCCTGTATAATATAATTAAGAATAAAAAAAGGCAAAAATGTTTTATTTTAAACTTTAATTTCTGTTACTTTTGAACCCTGTCCGCATGAGATTAAGCAATCCTTTCAATATCCTTAGGACAAAAATAATTTTCTCTAGTTGTTTTCTGGATTAGAGATGTCATATGCATCTATTATTGGTAATAATAGGCTAAGAAGGTGGACCTTTGCCATGCATAATTTTCTTCTGCAAGCTATTTCGAGATTATGCTTTTGTTTTTTTATTGTTGTTCCAATTGTTTTAGCAAACTCCTGATGTTTGGTACTTTTGTGAATCAACTTCATGTATTTGGAAATGTTACTTTGTTGCTTTCTGTTCCAATATGTTGTAAGAAATTCCTTTGTTTAGAGGGTATTAGCTTCTTGAAGTGTTTTATGGTTCTAATGATTGCTTACCTTGTCCATTCTGAGCTCCACATAGAATTAAACTGAAGTGTTAACCACAAATACTGTATTTTAACATATGCCATCCTATAAATGTTTTTGGATAACATTGCAATAACATATATCTTATAAATGACTTTGGTCTGACCTCTCTCTCTCTCTCTCACACACACATTTTAGGTTTACCTTGGAAATGGCAAAAGTTAATAAGGTGCGATGCAAGGCTGATTCCCGGGGGCACAGAGTGACACCATATGCATTGTCACCTTGTTCACGGAAGGCTGGTAAAAATTGCCACTTGAAGAAAAAGCATTCAGATGCTTCAGAGAAGAAAGATTGGGAAGGTGCAACCTGCTCAGTTTGCCTGGAGCGTCCTCACAATGCCGTGCTTCTCCTTTGCTCTTCTTATGGCAAGGGCTGCCGTCCATATATGTGTGCCACCAGTCGTCGTTTTTCCAACTGTCTTGAACAATACAAGAAAGCTTATACAAAAGTAACTCCTACAGAAGGAGTGCAGCAAGAAAACAGTTCAATGGATAATTCAAGTTTCAGTTTGCATGCTGAGCCGGCCTATGAGAAAGTGGAGGTTCCAGAGCTTTTATGCCCCCTTTGTCGAGGACAGGTTAAGGGTTGGACAGTGGTGGAACTGGCTCGTAAGCATCTCAATGCTAAAAAAAGATCCTGCATGCAGGATAAGTGCTCATTTTTTGGAACTTATAAGCAGCTGAGGAAGCATGTTAAGGCGAAGCACCCATTGGCACGACCCCGAGCCGTGGACCCTGTACTTGAAGAAAAATGGAACAAGCTTGAATGTGAAAGAGAGCGAAATGATGTAATCAGCACAATTATGTCATCAACACCAGGGGCGCTGGTGCTTGGTGATTATGTGATTGAACCAGGGTATCGTGGCATTCATAATGACTATGATTCTGATTCTAATTCATCCCTGGATGATGGTTTCTTATCTTTGGGGTCATTTGATAGAGGGCAGAGTAGTGGCATCCGCTTTCGTAATGGACATCACCTGGATTATGATTCATTGGATGAGAATGATTATGGTATGCATCGTCCTGGGGCTACAGGTTCCGCAGCAATATCTGGACGTGGATTTCACAGGATACTGCTGGAGAGACCAAGGAGGAGGTGGTATAGAGGTATTAGAGGTCGAAGTTACTGATCGCAATTGGGATTAAGAGGGGTCGTAATCAACTTCTCAAATTGGTCTCTACATTTTTTTCTACTGCCATCATGTGATACATGTGATGGTCCGCATGTACCCTGATGTGGTGCACTGATTGGTGTCAAATAAGTGGTTTCCAACAAATAGTGGGAATGACGACTTGCCTTTAATTGTACGTCATTAGTTCTGAGAGGATTAAAGCATTTAATCGGTCAGTTCCGTCATAGGTTTATTAATTTACTATCATTTGCGTGCATAGTGATTTGAACTGAGATTGAGTTTAGGTCATTGTTGATATTTTTCCTTCGCGATGCCTTTTCTTTTTCCTCGGTTATATTCCGCGATCCTCCCACCGTTTAGTATTTATGTACAGCTTGGACAAATTCAAGTATTATGTCTGTTTTTTCTTCGTCTTTTCTTCCTGCTGCTAATACATTTGCTAGATGGTTCTTCGGTTGTATATTTCTTGATCTGGCGAAATTTATTTCAAACCTTCAATGCATTTGCTAGATGGGTCTTTGGATGTATTTATCTTGATCTGGGGGAGAACATAGTTCAAACCTTCAAACTGACAAGTCTATTAGTGCTTTTTGAAAAAAAGAATTTCTAGTATTTCAAAGCAAGATTAAGAAAAGAACCAAAACTTGCTTCAGAGGTGCCCATGTCGATTTTCAGGCCCATGCTTTTTGGTTCACCGCCATCTCCGTGACTACCAACCATCTGCAGTACGAACTCTTCTTTGTACGTGTCTGTTGCAAATTGCATTACTTTTAGTAGTACGAATTGCGAATTACATTCTTGTTTCTCATAGAAACTTGAAATAGGCAATCTATATCGGACATTCGGGATGCCAAGTCTGATGAGTGTGATTATCTTCGAATTTCAATTTCCTCTTTTTATACATGTCTTGCGTTTGAATCGTATAATAACAATCTTATCCAAATCCTCCCGATAATATACGATCCAACTGGCTTGAAGTCTGCGATAAATGTTGTATTTCAACTCTTTCTTTGCCTGATGATAGTGCTGCTGCTCACTTAAAACTGGAGCCTGTGCCAGCTAAAGCCTGGGAGAATGAGATCTTGGCCCACTAGATTTCTTTGGGATTGGCTCAGTTTATGAAGGGGCCTATTGATACCTCACCAAGGGCCATAATTCTGGCTTCGGCTTGAGCTACGCTGACAAAGCACTGTATTACTTGCATCGTTTTTATTAGTTTTAACCGTCGGAGTATTTTCGGATTGATTTTCATGCATCGCACCGGTATAGTTCTTTGCGAACTATCGAGGGTTCGAATCCCTCTCTCTCCTTTTCTCGGTGAATCCATTTATGTTTTTATTGCTTTTTCTGGCTCAGTATCATAAAGGTGAATGGCCCCACCTCAATCTGCTGAACGAGTCCGTTATTTGTATTTTGAGTTGTCAGTCTATGTTCCAGCTGAAGTATGAATTTTGTTTTTTTATTTTTTTTTACTCACACATCCAAAATCTTTTAAAAAACTAATATGTTAAAATTTAAATTCGTAATTTTATCATGGTTCCATTTGAATCTTTTATCAGAAACAAAATTTAGTCTGGTACTTATCATTCTCGACAAGTATGATAAGCATCAAATAGTACTTCTCAAATATAGCTCAAATTGGTAAATAATATAACATTATTTTGGATACTTAGAGATATCTTAAAAATGCTTTGATACATTAAAGAGATTATAGTTTAATGCTAACGGTTTTTTATCACAAGAAGTCATAGGTTCAAATTTTAATAGATTAATTATGTTAAAAGCTTTAGCTCTGTGAGTTAAAAATAAAAATACTTCCATATATGTATTCGATACCTCGTGGATAATTTATTGATTCTATTTTGATTTTTCTCATCAATTAAAAAAAATGTTTTCGGTAGTTGTGCTTTTTTTTTTTAACAAAATAAATTAGAAGCATTCATGGATAACCGTTGATGAATATTGTTAAAAAAATAATTAAAAATGTGATGTTGAATTTTTTATTTCATGTATTATTCAAACTAATAAATTTTTTTTCTATATTTTATTTGCTTGTATTTGTCTACAATAATTAGTATTTGAACTTGAAAAGAAAAAAAATAGCTGTGACTAAATATGCTAAGAATATCAGTATTTTTTAATAACATACCTTAGCAAATCGTATTCTCAAATCTTAAATTATCCATATTATATTATATACGTATTTTATATTTGTTTTGATGTTATAAAAACCCATATCAGTTTTTACGAATCGTTACATCGCATAACAATTTATAATAACCTATTTGGTATCACAATTTCAAACAATCTAACTTATTTGATACGCCAGGTAATTAAGTTATATATATATATATATATATATATATATAAATATACACACACACAATGGATAAATCATTACTTTTCTTAAATTGTTGGTCTCTTTTGATTTTTTACTCTGTTTAAGAAATATTAATTGTTATAACATATGAGTTCCCTTTTTATCCATATTTTTTAAAAATATCTTTCTATCCTGTCAAAATTGAGTTCCAAAACTTTTAAAAAGATATAAAGATCATTAAACCTTTTAAAAATCAAAATTTTCGTCCCTTTTAAATTTAAGTTGGAGCTTTTACAAGAAGCTAAAGATCATTAAAAAAAATCTTAAATTTTCTATAAAATTTCAAGCAAAAAAATTGGTTTCCGAAGCAAGATATTAAATCAAGATTTTCTTTCCTCCCAAATTTAAGTTCAAGTTTTTATTTAGAAAGATCGAGAGATCATTAACCCTTTCTATATTTATCATGAAATTTTAAGTCAAAAACTTAGTGTCATTAAAAGAAAATGTAAAGAATATTGATTTTCTAGTTAGTAAAAAAATAAGAAATAGAAGAAACGATTGTTAAGAATGTTTTAGACCATTATCATATTTAAAATTTTAAATTGACAAGTATTTTGGTACAAATATAAATAGAAAGAGAGACAATTTCTTTATAACAAAAAAAGTATTATTTATTGAGAGAGACAAATAAATTTCTTTACCTTTTAATATTTGTTTAATTCGGATATCAATTAAGTGGTGGGTGGTAACATATATGTTATATGAATAATGAACTAGCCAATGGTGGTAAAAGTCTCTTTTTTTCTGTCTTTCGTTTTCATTGTGTTCTTCTACTTTTATTATTATTATTATTATAAGTTCATCATTTCTTGTTTGTTTAATATCTTAATCTCATTCCATCATTGACTTTTAAACTGATGGCGTTAAATTTTATTTTATCTTAATCACACCCTTTTATTTTATTTTTTAATGTTAATATTTTTTTATATATAATTTAAATAAATAAATTTAAGAAAAAAAATTTAAAAAGAACGAAGATGTATTTGGTCATTCTCTCTCTCTCAAAAAAAAAAAAAAAAAAAGTGAAGCTATTTTTTAAAATATTATTCATGAGTTTAAATTTATATCCAAATTATTAAGTATTAAATAAAATATTGACAGTATTTTTTTATATTCTTACTTTCAAGTCAAATTAAAAAATTTGTAAAATCAAAATAAGTAAATTACAATAGACTTTTTCGAGATATTATAAAATTATAAATACCTTTAAAAAATTTAACAAAAACTCTTTTCACATATAAAAAAGAATATCATAAATATTTTATTTTATACTCAAAATTTAATTACTCTTATAGAAATAAATTTAAGTCCATAAAATATATTTTGGATTAAAAAAATTATCATTGTCTATTTTTATATATGAAAAAAGAGGATTCGTTATTTGAATGATGGGTTGATAATTTAAGTCCATTAACCCGCCATTCAATTTAATCCCATAAAAGAGTTAATAATATGAATGATGGGCTAATATGGGAAAGTTTGTCTCTATGATAGTAAATATAATTTTCAAAATTTATTTATTTAAATTAGATAAATAAAATAAAATTAGGAAACAAAATAAAGTAAAAAGATGAGATTAAGACAAAAGAAAAAATAATTTAACATTATTAATCTAAAAATTAATAGAGAGATGAAATTAAGATATAAACCAAACATAGAAAAATAAACTTAGGATGAAAAAAAAATAGATAGACTTGTGCCACCATTAGCCCAACAATGAATAATATCTTTATTGCACAGGATTCGGTTTGTAACCACTCAACTTAAAAGGTAATTATTTTCTTTTATATTCTGTTTGGAAAATATTATTACAGTTATAAAGTGCCTGAAAGGTCAAGTAATATAATGGACGCGAAAAATAGAAATGCAAGCGTCTATTATATATGGAGCTCTATTATTGGAGTGTGCAACATGCCAAAGAAAAGGAAGGGCAAAAAATATTACACGTTCACATTAACATGTTATCTGTAAGGTATGGATTCGAAAACTTAACCTTATTGTGGAATTAAATAATAATAATAAAAAACTATGACTTTTTCAACGGAATGTGTAATATCTAAAAACCACCTTATTATTTTTATTTCTATCTTATTGTAGTTCTAAAAGTCATTATCAGTACATATTACAGACGGAAAGGAGAGAGATGACTTATTAGCATGCATCAAGAATACATTAATTACAACGAGGAACAGGTTTTAATTTGGTTTTATGGAAAAATTTATCCATTTTTTTGTGATTTAATAATTTTAAATTTTTATTATCAATCTGAGTAATTTGAATCATAAAATATCAGTTTTTTTTAAAAAATTTATCTTTCTTGATTATTTATAATAATCAATTTTTTAACCATTAACGTTATTCAAGCATTCCACTGTCATTTGAAAAAATATATATTTTAGAATCAAGACGTTAATATATACGACATGGAAACTTTCAACTAAGCAATAATAATTCAAATTTCCCACAAACGGAGTCGCTGTATTAGCGGCGCTCTACTATTGTACGGATTTGAGCTTTAGATTGGAGTATCATGCGCACATCTCTATCTTAATTGTTTTCCTCTTCCCTTTTCCGCTTCTATGATTGCAGTGTTACCCCCAGTTTTCGTTCACAGCAGCAGAATTACATTTTCACTCAAGATATTTTTAGACAAGAAGTCCCTTTCATCCCCAAAGTGTCCAATTGCACACTTCTTTGAATCTCGCAACATAAATTCTGGCCACAATTTTGTTTCATGACCAGGCAATTTCAATATGCAGCTGTATGTCGTTGTCTAAATTGAATTTGGTAAGCAATATAATTGAAAGATCAACGCTGCATAACAGTAAGGTTCATATAGGTTGATATGATAGGTCTTCTTTTTATTCAACGGTAGGCTGGATGATCTTAGGGTGTAAAATAAATGACAGTTTCTCCAACTCCTAAATTCTCATCCCTCTCTTTTTTTTTTTTTTTTCAAGATTTAAAGATGAGATCGTTTAGTGAAAATCCAAAATTTTAATATTACATGCTGAAAATTTTTATAATACTAAAAAAATAATTAGTAATTTCAAAAATCACTCTATAGAACAAAGATATAAAAAAAACAAAAAAAAAAAAAAGAGAGAGAGAAAATTAAAAAAAAAAAAACTAAGGTCAACATCCTACTTGTAAAGTTTCCATCGTCATGCACATTACAATTCGTGCAATGCTAATTATAATTGACTTTGAACAAGTGACGAGGCTCTATTTTGGAGCCTTGGACGACGGGTATGTCTGCCAAGCAGTACTTCACTTTCATACGTGTCGTTGTTAAACCACAGCAATTCGCTCTTAGGAAGTAACAAACATAAATTAATTATCAATACTTATTGCCCAGTAGGAACCATACAGACAAATGAATTAAGATATTATAAAAATTAGCCGGGAGATTAAGTAAATGAAATTTTTATTGATTATATATATTCGGCTGAAAACAGCTAAGGGAGAGAGAACATAAATATATAATTGGCTTTGTTTGTCTTTGTAAGACAGCAGTGCATGCACTTAAAAAAGGCGCAGTCTCTTTTCCCGTCCATTGGAATCATTTCCAAGTTGTGTGGGACTTCATTATTTTATTACAATGATGCGTGGAGATCCCTAACCAACTAACATGCTTCTTCATCTTGTGCAAATTAAATTAACTTTGACTTGAATATAGATATATATATAGTTGTAATTATAATCAGCAATGACGTGTAGTCCTATTTTTTTATGTTTAGATATTTATAATTAACAGTTACCGATCTGAAGAAAAAGTTTGATCAAGTAGCTAGCTCGAACAAGCCACTGTTTTTTTATGAATACCTTAAAGTTCTAACCCCACTATTTGATGATTTTGACCTCGAGACAAGGATTTAAAACCAGGGAAAACAATTAAAAATTGAATTTTATATATAATGATGGACATTATTTTTAATATAAAAATTAAATAGATAAATTATGAATTCATATTGTAAATAAATATCTCATATTTTCCACTCAAAAACCCATCATATCCTATCATTGCTCGCAATCAACTGTCTGTTTTGTTTCTTTTGATCATAAAATATATAGGAGCTGAATCCGACACATCCCTCTCTCTTATTTAAAAGACATTCCAACTTAAATATAAAGAATTTTTTAAAAAGAAAAAATAAAAAAAAAGCCTCTAGACTGTTGACTGGTCAACATCAATAGAGCATAAACTATAAAAATACGTGATAGAAATGGAAGTGTCTTATAGCCGTTCTTCAAAAAATGACATATACAATATATTCCTAAAATTAATAAAATGACGGATCAGAATATCGAACAAAGTACAATATAGATCACGGTAATGAGGTAACGAAATAATTTTAGTCCAAACCATGGGATTCTGTTACGTCTTGGATAAATATCTTAAAATGCTAAAATAATATGCATGTCTTTTGCAATCGCTAGCACTTATTTAACTGGGAGCAACATCAATATTTTATGATTCAACCGAGGCGAGGAGAATCGCAATTCGCATGAGATGATTCTTTTGATTACGATCCCATTCTAATTAAGAATTCTGGATATATATATGGATGTATATGTTTATATATTTGTGAGATGAGATGGAGAAGTCTATTTCAATGGAGCAAATAAAGACAATTCAAGGAAGGAGCCAACATCGTTGAGTGTAGAAACTACATGTAGATATGACCTTTCCAAGCGCCAAGCAACAAGGAGGGGGTCGAGCAAGGGCCAAGCAATGGTTGGTTTGGCTCAACGGAAGAGAAGGCACTATCTGCTTGGACGCGGCGTTGGATCTTTCTTGGTCCTACTTGAATTTTTAAATTGTACTCCTGTGTTCTTAATTTGTTTCCTAGTGCTGACAATCAACTGGTTTATGGATTGTCCAGTCCAGTTTGTTCTTATTCTATTATATAAAATGTGATTTCACAAATAATTTTATATTATTTTTAACATAATTTTTACGAAAAGTTGATTAAGTAAAAGCTTTTTAAGATTAAAATTTGAAATCCATCACTATTTTACAGTTAATTATTTATTTGAATTTTGACTAATCTACTATTATTTTATGTGTTTAATATTGAGATTTGAATTTGTGATGATTTATTTATCGAAACTTTAATATTAAACTAAATAATCATTTCAATCTAAAAATTTAAACTATTAACTAAGTTTTTAAAAATTATTTTATATTATTCTCGAGAATGCCATGTATACGTGCATATTTATTACAGCTGGACTGAATAACTATAGAATTGTGCAACATATGGTTCTCTTGAAGTTGAAGACGATGCATAATTGGATTTTAAGCAATCTTGGCTGCGGAACGATATTAAAACTTTTCGAAAACGGAACAAATTTTGGAAGGAACACACACTAGCTTGATCATATGTCAAAATTCTTGAGTTTGGGAATTGAAAAGCATAATGTTATTTAAAGTGAAACGAGAAAGTTTTTCGATAGAGTGCGAGAATTTTATCGGAAAATTAAGGAAATGGCAAAAAGACAAGAAGTTGGGACAAAAAAAAAACTAAAGGATTTCTGGCGGCCTCAGGTTCCCAGCACACGAAAAGGGGCCCAGCACATAAGAACCTGATCAAGGGCAAATGCCTAGTTACTGAGAAGTTCAAAACGAAAGCGGCAGCATCAAAGAATTTCTCCCAGTTTAGCAAGAAGGAAAAACAAATAGAAAATAGCCACAAATTTAGCAGCAACAAGGACAGTCAGTGATAGACATGCCGAAAAGAGAACATAATACGAAGAGAATATCTCACCTTTGAACAACATCTCATAGAATGCAGCTTTATATATCATTAAATACCTCCTTTCTCGATTCGAGTAAAATCGAATCTCTTATCGACATCTTGGGACCAATATCAAACAATTCTATTAGCAACAATACATAAGCTATATTACGCTTGCAAATGTATTTAGTATTTGATTGCATTTCGTATGACCGTGAAAGAAACGTTATTGCATGCATTTGTAAAGAATCTTTTATTTTTAACCTTTCCCGGGGAAGTAATTAGTTGTCTGAATGAATTATTTTAATTTCAATAAAAAAATTCAAACGTTTATTGAATTAAATTAAATGTTTGATATTCAAAATTTAAATAATTTAAATAAAAAATATGATTATTCGCAATTAAAATAAAATAATTATAATTTCACTGAAATAAAAATTAAGAATGAAAATTTATTTTTACATTTAATATATAATAATATTTGGGATATGCAAAACCCATACATACATATTACTTGTTTTTTTATAAACATAGTTAGAGATTAAAAACAATATTTCTTGATAATGTTATAAATTTCTTTCACGAAAAAAATAAAAATAACAACATAGAGAATGAGTACTTCATTTGTTTTCTCTGTGCATATGAATAATTGTTTTAGATAAACAATAAAAGAAATTATTTGAAATCTTAAATTTATTTTTAAAAGAAAGATAATTGTAATAAAATATTAGAATAAAAATGTGATAATAAATGGCAGAATACTTTTTTTCGATTTTATTTTGATTATTAACAATTAGTAAATATCTACAATTGAAATTAAACTTGAAAGAAAAAAAATTGAGAGAAAGCAAAATTTGATGAATCATGGAATTTTCATGCAATAATATTTATATTTTAATATTAATTAGAAAATTATAATGCGTTCTCCTAGTACAACTACTTTTATTTAAAGTAATCATCTTTTCAATAAAATATATCTATTTTCTATGGATAAATTAATGAGGTTTTTTATGTGAGTGAAAGCTTTATTGAGGGCTCCTTTTACTAGCATAATATTACTCGTGATTAAATTTTTTTATTAAATTTAATTTTAGTTTTTAACCGTTTGTTTAAAAATATGTTTTTTGAGTTTTGATAATGAAATAAATTGCGATACGGTACTATATTAGTATGTGATGATTTAAGAAGGTTACTTTCTTATTATAAGGGTTTTTCCTAATGTTTAAGTAGGCAAATAATAAAATAAAAAAAATAACCTATTTTTTAAGGAATTAATATTGAAATATATGATAAAAAATTTACTACGTATGTTATCTTTTTTATTTAAGAAGTAAGAAAGATTACATATTAGCTTTGGATAAATTACAATGTTATTGTGTTAAGGGTATAATGGTCTATCAAAACTAATTGAAAGAGTTTGTGCTTTTACATATAATTATGTATTTTAGGATTATTTGTCTTAACACCATACTGTCAATAAATAACGTCTCTAGCCTTTTCCATTCTTTATGTATATATATAGAGAGAGAGAGAGAGAGAGAGAGAGAAGGAAGAGAAGAGTAACGAGCAGCTCGCACTTTACATGAAGTGGTAGTTATTTTTAGTAAGTTAGTTGCCACCTTTGTTTGATATCTGCTACTCCCACAAAAGGGTTACGTGTCTCTCCGTCTCCCTCACGGACTTTTTATGCTTAATTTCTTCTCCATTGGTATATATATGACGTTGAAGTTAATTTTAAGAAACACAATGGTTTAATAACAAAAATTACTTTCAAACTATAAAGTTATAACAATTTAAAATTCATATTATTAATTTAGAATATTTAGATCTCAAATTATTATTTTTTAAATAAAAATTATCCTTCTTTTGTTATCTCTAAGCCTTAAAATATTAATCATTAACTGAAATATAATTTAATGATAGAATTTACTCCAAAACTATTAGAATTGTAGGAAAATAATACCTATACTATCAATTTGGACTGTTTACATCTTAAACTATTAATTTTTGATTTTTATTTTATTTTTTACAATCAAAACGTTGATTGTTTAATTTTTTATAATTAAAAATTAATTTTAATTTTTTAATAATATTTAGTTTAAAAAAAAACCTAAATGATTTTGTTGATTGTGATTTTGTCTTTTGGTATTGAATAATTAATAATGTGTAATTGATCCATCTAGTAAAAAACTAAGCTATTAATTTTTTCAAAAAATTAAAATTGATTTTGAAAAAAATATTTAATAATAATTACTTTTAAAGTAGCTTAGATGATTTTTTTAAAATAGATCTTACTTTTATTGTTAGATAATTAATGATATACAATGGATCCATATAGTTAAAAAAAAATTAAACTAATTTTAATTTTTAAAAAATAAAATACGTAAAATGACGTCGTTTTAAATATTTTTGTTTATCATTAAATTATATTTCAGCTAATCGTAAATGTTTTGACGATTGAAACTAATGAAGAAAAGATAGTATTTATTTAAAAAATATTAATTTTACATCGTTAATAATATGAATTTTAAATTATTATAACTCAATAATTTTTTTGATTTTTTCCATTAAACTAAACAAAAATGATCGCCAATAATGTTTACTTACGGTTTCTGATAATGAAATTGAGATGTACATCTCCCGGACTATCAACGAGACATTTCCTTCCCATGCTAGTGAGGGAATTTTCAGGGACATTTTTTTCTTCTACGAAATCACCATAAATATCCCATCTCTGACAACTTAATCTGTCGTGTTGTCATGGGTTGCATTTCATTTTCGCTCTAATGTTAGCAGAGCAACATTTGGCTAAAAGACAAGTGGTGTGAACAACAATAATTACGAGGTGCAGTCAGGCTGGATTATCAGAACAGTTTTTTTTTTTTTTTTATTGAGAAATATAGCATAAATGAAGAATTATAATTTTAAATTTGTAAAGAAGAAAGTAATAAAAATGCTACACTCATATATACAAAAGCTCTATATATATATATATATATATACATAATATCAATTATTTATTATTATCTTTTTTTATGTTCTAAAAACAAAATCTTCCTTACCTGCGGATTTCTCTCCTTCAGCGACTGCAACAGGTACGGTTTCTTGATAATTGTTAACTCTATATAATTGTTAGTTGTTAAGGTAGACACTGTAACTTCTTATCTGTCTCGCTGATAATCATATTGTCATATACAACTGTAGCGTCCATGTATAACTCTAGAGTTCTTATTTTTAAATACAGGTAACTCCATAAATGAGAGAGAAAGAGCCTGAATAAGATGGGGAGGAATTATTCACTCATACATCTTGTTTCTAACTTCAATTTTATGTAATATTTCTCACAAATTATAAACGAGAACATATACCGAAAGAACAGGCTATTGTAATTGAAATAACCTTTAATTTGATTTATTCTACAAAAAGTACTATATACAGAGCAACTGTTGCTCAAACTTGATAATAGTACATGAAAATGAGTCTTTTTTGTCCTCCTTTCCTCTTGTTCTTTTCAAAGTGATGCAATTAAAATAAATTATAAGCGATACTAATATATGTACAGCCTCATCTTATTTAAATATACCTCCCTCCTCTTTTCTCTAAAAAACTAGCAAGGAATCCTTGATATCATAATTCATCTTCTCCAAATTTGGTTGCACGGCAAATTGAATCATGGGTGGTGGACCACAAGCTAAAGCTAGAGTATCATCTGATCCTTCTGGCACATGCTCTCGCAGGATACTCTCTGTAACGAACCCAACGCTGTATTCCCATTCTTCCTTTACAGACTCTTGAACAACATACCAAACCTTTAATCTCTCATATTCCCTAGCCCAAGAATCAAGCTCATCCCTTAACAAAATATCGTCCTCAGTGCGGTTCGCATACACCACATACATCTCAGTATCGTCCTCCGGGTCTTTCAAAATGGCTTGAATCACTTGATAAATTGGTGTGATGCCGGTCCCACCAGCTAACATAGTCAATTTCTTGGCAAACTTGGGTTTGCCATGAACCGAAAAGTTGCCACGACCAACATATTCAATGTGACCCAATGGACCCTTCACGTCTATCACAGATCCCAGTGATAGTGAATCAAGGTATTGTGACATCTGTCCTCCGTTGGGAAATTTTGGATGCACGTCCTTAAAATAAATTTTAATTACGAGATCAAAGTATCCTATCACGTCAAAAGTGCTAGTTGGCGTATAAGCTCGCATGCACAACTTACCATCAATGGTAGCACATAAAAATATATGCTTCCCCACTGGCAATCCCAACATTTGATCCTCTGACGGCAATGCAAATCGAAAAAGACGCACATCATGAGAAAGAATTTCCTTCTTCACAAGCTTGCATGGAATTTTTTCACGGGGGACAAGAGCAACGTTTTTTACTGGAGCGATTTCTTTAATAGGAGCCAAATGTATCTGTGCTATATTGGATGCACCATGCACCGAGTTATTAGGCGAGGATGCGTTCGAGTCAGATGTGTAAGCTGTTGAATCGACCAACTCTCCAATCCGATAATCCTCGAGCATTTTTTTAGCTTTATCAGAGTGTATAGCATCAAATTCTTCAGTGCAATCAGTACCGGCGTTGATTAAAATGCTATCGGTGCCACCGGGGTGGGCTTTAAGAAAGCCAGTGCAATCATACACGTGACCGTGAACAATTATCCATGCTGACTCACCTGAATTATGTTTCTTGACTTCAGCCATTGAAAAAGTTTTTGAAGAAGTGTTCATGAAAGGTGTTGAAACACTTTTCTTCAGAGTTTGGATATTCTCTAAGGATTTCTCTTGATGCCTTTCCTTGGCCATCCACCCACCAGACTGTTTGCCTGGCACCGTGGGGTGCTCGAACACAATTCCAATCTCACCCTTGTGACGTTTGCAGACATGTGTTTTCACCCGGAACCAGCAATTGTTCATCATTCCCTGTTCATAATGGTACATGTTTGAATAAAAATTAGGCAATTTGCAATATACTGCATGTAAATGAATATTTGTGACAATAACGAAGCTTTTTTTATAGTTCTGTTCAAATCCTAACATAAAAAACAATATCAAATGATCAATGGCAAACGAGATTATATATATATATATATATATATATATATAATGAAAGGGCTTTTAATAATATTAATCATTTTGTTACTACAATTTTTTTCCCCATTCTCAAGAATCGAACAATACTATATTATTTTTTATACTTGTTTTTGTGTTATTTACCTTGTTATTGGAGCTAGAGCTATAAGAATGCCTAATATATATAATCTAAAAACAATTTTTAAAACCAGATTTTACATACGTTTCATGTTCAATGTACAAGTTTTCATTAACATGCCAAATTTTTACACGTTTTCAGCTGAGTAAAAACCTATTTTTCACATTAATAAGGTTGGTAAAAAGTAATATATAGACATTAATATTCAATCTCGTATATGAAATTAATTAAATACTCTTTTAAATGTGAGTATAAATAATTAAACCTTATATTCTTTAGCTTAGCTTATAGTTAAAATTTTTATATAAAACAAGTTCAAAAATACCACGTTGACAATTCAAGCTAAATAATTTTTTTTAAGGATATCTAAATAAAAGATGCTGGTGGGCATCCTTTATTGGAAATGTCCTAGTCCTCTAATTAAAATAACAGTTGGGCTTAAGAGCTCACAAATTCCATGTTTAATTTCTGGGGTTGTCGGCTTGGTAGGCTGTAGCTGTAGATAATTAGAGTCCGAAGCTAAAGGGCCCCGTCCCTTTCGCAGGAAATTCAAGTTGTAAATTGACACATCAGTTAAAAGTTGATAATTTTGATTTTGACCACATTAAAATAAGAGTTAGCCGTGTTTGAAAGTCCAAGAACACTAATTGTGTGGACATACATACCATCACATTCCAATTTAGCTTCTCAGGCTGGGTGTTATGGGTTTCATCCCAGGCCCGGACCGCAATCTCTTTGGCTCCAAGTAGCTCTAGCACCTCCACCTCCAGGGACCAGAAGCACCAACACCAGTATTTGCCAAACTTGTTGGGCTTCTCTGGGTGGTTCAAGTTGCAGACTAGCCACGTTTCTCCACCGTCCACAGTCACCTCTACTCGCGTCACTTTTTTCCCACCACCTTAAAAAGAAGAAAAAAAAAAAGCACGTCAAACAAGAAGAGTACTACCTGCTCAAGAACACTTCTAAGTAGAGAGAAGACATGTTTTGATGGCAACTTGCTAATAAGTACTATAAAACATAAATTTCATTCAAGGAACTGCCAAAAACAAAAATTATTTTGTACCCAGAAAACAAAACAAGTCGATCCACCAAAGAAATAGCCTTATCCCATAAAAGGAAAAGAGATCAATATTGATCGTATTCCATATATATTGGCAATTTGCGCAACCAATTTATCTCTATCATTTTGATACACTTTTATAATAATAAGTAGGCGTAGGATGTGAAAGAATCCGGTCCAAAATTGCTCAATTTTTTTTATAAAAAAATCCTATATTTTTCAAAGAAAAGAAAAACTCACCGGAATATGCGTAACCATTCAAGGTGTACGGCCTCTGAGTTGTGTATGAGTTAATAGGCAATATCTCTTCATGACTCGGCGTCGTTATCGCCGAATTTATATTCAGCTCATTGATGATGTAATCCGGCTTGTACCACCAGGCTACACGTTATAAAACAGCAAATGTAACATTAATATTTTCTTTTATTTACGCACACCTCAATTTGGAAGAAGTGCCATGAAATAAGACCATTGACGCATGCACTCCCAAATTAATATTACCATGGGCTACTATATAGTTACGAACCTTCGGCATTCGCTAGCTCTGCATCAACATGAGAGGGCAGTACTCTATTGTCCTTGTAGTGATAGTAATTATCTGACTCTTTAGTAGTAACAATTATTCTCTTCAACCATTTTACCATTCGCCCACCAATAAAACCTGGTATAATCATCCTCACTGGAAATCCATGGTCCGGCGCCAAAGGCTCACCGTTTTGCATATAGGCTAAAATAATATCTCGAGATGGATCCATGGCAAACTCTTTCTTGATACTGGTACCATACTTGGACCCACCTCCACCTGGCAGATCCTCGGCACCTTCGAAACAAACACTGAGAGCCCCATTTTTACGGCTATAGATCCCACACTTCTTGAGCAGCAAATGCAATGGAACACCACGCCACACGGAAGTAGACACCCCGGCAGCACCCCAGTTGAAGCCAATTGTCTGTTTCACCATGTTTTGCTCTTTGCGTCTGTTACCAGCGCAAACTAGAGTGACAGGGAGTTCACGGGCTGGGAATTCGTTGACTAGCTGCTCCATGGTGAAACGGCCCGGCCTTTTAACCAAACCACAAACCTCGACAGTCCAGTCTTGCCATGTGGCCTTTGGGACAGGACCATGGTTACGAACATAGTGAAGGGGGACCGGTGTAATGAACCCGTGGTGCATGAGACGAGCCAATGGCGGTTCGGAATTAAAAGGATGTTTCCCTGTAAGACGGACCATGGAAGGGTTGCGTTCGATCCAGCTGTCAGCCGTTCCTTCATCTCGGGGGTCATAAATCGACGGCTCTAATTCACTGTTGCTTTTGCGGATCAGATCCTTATAATCAGCTTCATCATCGCTTGAAGAACCTTCTTCCTCCAATGTTGGAACTGGTTTCTGATTGGACCGAGTGAAGTCTTGATTCGAGAAGTTCAAGGTAGGAACCGGAGAGTTGGGTCGGTGGGTTGGAACTGTTTTGAACGAACGAACCACCCCGTTTAAAGTGGGTTCGAGGTGGAATTGGCGTTTATCGACGGAGGCCGACATTAGAAGCGCCTATAAATAAAGAAAGAGAGCCGCCGTAAAGGAAATGAAAAGAAAGAGTTTCAATTTTCTTTCTTTACTTTCTATGATATATTCTTCTGTTTGGTTTCTTTCTTTGTTTCAAGGCGAAAACGAAGTTGCATGTGAGTAAGACTTATATAGGCCTCGTTGAGCTTGGGGGTGAAAACGGGGTCAAAGAAAAAGATGGGGCCCATAATTACGTTATATAGCTAAGTGACTTTATTTTAGTTCTTCTTTTTCTTTACTTTTTTTCCCCTGTAACAAGGAGATAAATAGAGTGAGTGATCTCGATAGTTTTTTAGGGAGAAAATGGAAAAAAAAATTCGCTGGTGGCGGCTATGGGAATAGAACTTAGCACCAAAAAAAAAAAAAAGGAGTAATAGGTCTAGCTGTTGCTCGAGTGGTTAAGATGGACATGGTTTTGGCTAGAACCACACGCATATAATAGGTGCAAAAGCGGTTAAAAAATATCCATCACTTCTTAGCTCTGAGAAGAGAGAGCCACTAACTTCTGGGACCCAATATTGGCTAAATCCTCCCGTAGCAATCGCCTCCCATCTATATTATGTGGATGTTTTTACTTTTATACTGTTAACCACAACTTGAGTCGGTGAAAGATGCTCTTATTTCTTTTATCAGATCTCGTTTGATATCAAGCAAAATTTTCTATGATTTCAACTCGCCAAAAATCCGTACTTCATTCAAAACATATGACTAAATACAGGGATTTCAATTTTTCAATTTGATGATTGATAAAAACATATTAACTTTACGAATTTATAAATATTAAAATAAAATGAATATGCTACGGAAAAAATTAGTTACTACAAGATCTTTTTCATATATAGGGCAAACCGGAGCGAGGCAATTGATTAAAAAGTGTGTCGCTATCATGTTCTTTTAGGAGATTATCTAAAATAAAAAACATATCTGCATCCCTTTTAGTTTTACATTTGATCAAACAAGATTCGTTTTCTGATATTTGATCAAACAAACCACTTGATTTTCAGTTAAAGACAACTTAAGATTCTAAATTCAATTAAATCACAACACGTGGCATTCACATATTCAGCAATAAGTTAGTAAGTTGAACAAGGAGACCAATTCACCTTCAGATAAAATTAAAGTAGGAGGCTGAGTTTGATCTAATATTAAGAATATAGAAACCATGCATGATTTTTAACTTAAAAGGTTTTTTAGGGGACCCAAGTTGTCTGATAGAAAGAAGTAATAATAAAAAATTGGTTGCTATCCATGCATGGCTGCTTTGTGAGAATATACACAAGGGCACCTTGTCAGTCCTTATGCTTAAGTGAACCTAGGCCAGATAAAACTTCCCCATAAGATAATTGTTGCAGGTGGATGTGCTTCTAGAAAGACAGCTAGCATCCTTTAATCAGTGGAGAGACATTATGATATTGGATTATTATGAAATAAAATAAAAATTGAGAAAGCCATCCAATTAATTAGACAAAGATCGAGTTAACTAGAAGTTACTGGATTTAGCTACGCGATGTGTTGCTTGGATCATAATTAAAAGAGAGAAAACAAATATATATTGAAGATTGAAGTACTTTACCACAAAAAATTTGTTAAATAGTGACAAAATTTAATTCATCATTAAATAGAAAAAATAACGACAAAATAACAATTGATTAATTTAGTGATGGATTAAAAATGTAATAGCGATTGTATTTTAGCAACGGACACAAATATGTCACTAAATTTAACGAGTAAAATCTTTATGGGTATTTTAGAGATGATTTAGTGACAGATTTACTAAGAAAAATAGCAACGGACTCGTTATTTATAGTTATTTTCATTCCAAAGAATTAGCAACCAAATATCTATCACTAAATTACAATTCTCTCGCGATTTAGCAGACGGTAAAATACTGTCGCTAAAGGGAGGATTTTTTAAGAAAATTGGTTCGTCGAGCTTTTGAAAGAAAAAACCAACAATTTTGCAACGAATTAGTTACGAAACTTAATTTCATCAATAAATGTGAAAAAAGTGTGTCCATCCGTTTAAAATTGGACGACCATTTGAACATGGATTAGCAACAGACTAAGTGTCCATCTCTAATCTGTTGTAATTTGTCAATATTCAACGCTAATCCATCGTAAAAAGTGACAACTCGGCATCCGAGTTATTCAACATTGGCGGCCATTTAGACATGGATTAACGATGGTTACCGACAAAATACGATGGATTAGCAACGGATACCTATTTCTATCGCTAAATGTGAAAAATTGGTGTCTAGCTGTTCAAAATTGGCAATCATTTAGACATGGATTAGCGATGAACTAAGTGTCCATGCTATTTGACGATGGGATCGCGTCCATTGCTAAGTTTTAGCATGAATTTAACATCATTTTTCTTCCTCCTCCCTCATTTTCTTCTCCCTCTCTAAAACCACCGACTACGGCATTCTCCCACCCATTCCAAACGTTACCAAACTTCATTCCTCCACTCTCGATCAATTCCCATCCACTTCAAGGTTTCTTCTCCCAAAAAAGTCTCATTTTTTCTTCCCTTCTCTTTATGTAATTCCATCTAAATTAGATATATTCTTTTCTCTCTCTTTTTTTTTTAATTAAAATTCATAATTTATTATAATTGTTAGGTTAATTTAAGTTTAATTACTGAGTTTATAAGCGTGTATATATTCAATTAGTATTTTGTTGATTTATTTGTTAAGTTGTTAATTTTTGTTCATTGTTAGGTTAATTGGTTGATTGATTTGTTAAATTTTGTTAATTGTTAGATTGATTAGTTAATTAATTGAAATTTTAATTAAATCAATTTTTAATTAATGAAGTTAGTTTTATTTGAATTTAGTTAATTAATTAGGTTAATTCTATGTATATTTGGTTGAATTAGACTAAATTTGTTAATTAATTGTAATTTTGTTAGTTAATTGTTTAATTAGTCTTAATTAAGTAAATTTAATTTGGTTAGAATTAAAATTAATTAAGTTAATTAGATTTATAATTAATTAATTAATTAGTTTAGTTATGTTTTATTGGTTGAATTATAAGTTTATTTATATTAGTCATTGTTAATTAATTGTTAACATAAATTTAATTTGGTTAGAATTAGAATTAATTAAGTTCATTAGATTTATATTTAATCAATTAAATAAGTTAATTTTGTTTAATAAGTTAAATCATAAGTTTATCTATATTTGAAATTGTTAATCAATTGTTATATAAAATCTAATTTGGTTAGAATTAAAATTAATTAAGTTAATTTTAATTTTAATTAATTAGATTAATTTTTTTAATAGATTGAATTAAAACTTTATTTGTATTTTAAATTATTAATTAATCGTTATGTCAAATTTAATTTGGTTAGAATTAGAATTAATTAAGCAAATTTGATTTTTTTTAATATTAGAAATTTTTGAATTAGGTTAGATTTAGAATTAATTATGTTAAATTTTTTAATATTTTGGATTAGAATCAATTTTTAAATTAATTTTAATTTTTTTAATTAAACAAAAAATTTTTGTTAATTAAGTTAATTTAATTGTTATTTTAAATTTAATTTGCTTAGAATTAAAATTTATTAAGTTGATTTGATTAATTATGTTAAATTAGTTGAATTGTGACTTTATTTATAATAATACTTGTCGATTTATTTTTATTTAAATTTAATTAGTTTAGAATTAGAATTAATTAGTTTAATTATTTTGTGTACAATTATTGAAGTATGCTTGAGATACGCCTTTGTGTATTGAAACCGAAGGGTCGAAGACCCTTAGGAATTGAGGAGAAATAAGGTTGGTTCAATGTCCAATAATGGAGCTGAGAGGAAAAGTTTAAGATTTAATTTCGATAGAGTACGAGAAAATTATTGACCTTGATGAGCGTAATGTTCTTATCATCATTTGGAGTGTTTATTAATTGAAAAAAGTGCAAAGTGCAATTTGGAGGAGAGACTCTAATGAAATTTTTATTAAATGTTTTAAAAAATTATTAATTAAATAATTTTATTTTGCCTCGTAAATGCAAAAACAAAATAATAAGGTATAATCGTGAATGTATGTATATTAGGTGTATGGATGGATATTCGAAAGATGATTTGTGAATGAGGTTGAAGAATTTATGGCATTTGTTGTTACCCATATTAAATGTATGAAAGAAAGAAAGTTAAGGTGTCCTTGTAATCACCATAAATATCGAAGTTGAAATTTTAAAGAAATTCACATAATTAAATACCATTTAATGAGATATGATTTTGTACACGAATATTATGAATGGACATGCCATGGGGAAGTTGATTCAAGGAGTTATGTTGTGTCATAAAATTTTCATGAAGGCAAATAAAGTTGTAGTCAATCGCCCAATCCATAAGAAACAATGGTGATGGATGCGGTCGATTCATCATTTAATTAGTCTAGCATAGTCAAGGTATCAAATTTCGACACACGAGCTTCTTAAGACATGTTGAATGTAGCGAATAAGAAGATTTGGCATGGTTGTGACAACCACTCTCGATTGTTTACGATTACTCGATTGCTAAAACCTTAAGTCATAACACCATTATTTTGAAATGTGTAACGATGAGATATATGAGTTGATGAAGGAGTTGATGTCGATTGTTAATTGTATGATAGAGGATTTTTATAACACCAAAAAATTGGTGAAAGGGATAAGTTTACCGAGTAAAAAGATTTATTGTTGTAACAAAGACTTGTATGATTTATTAGGGTGAAGATTTTTTTGATCAAACATCTTTTTCTTTTGCATCAAAAAGAAGAAATATCAAATTGGAAGTTTGCACTAAAGGGGTTTCAACCTTTTAGCCAATCCGGTGCTTAATATGCTTCTTTATCAATAATTAAAATGCCTTGTAATTTGTCACTATGGATGTTTATGGAAGAAGAATACATGTTTTTTAACATTTATTATTCTTGGACCATCTAACCCAAAGCATAATTTGGATATGTTCTTATAGTATTTGATTGTGGAGTTGCT